AAGATCGTTTCGATTCTGAGTGAAGGAAAGCTTTTGATCCACGGAGGCTAAAGCTTCTGGGCGATCAGAATTAGAAGCATGAAAGGATGATGTCGGGGGTATCAGGACGTTGGGGGATGGAACATTTGAATTGTCGAAGTAGAGATTTCACGCTGAACAGATCAGACGTTTCAAGTGACGAGGGATTAGTTCTCTTTTAACGTTAGAGTTTTGGATCATTAGAGCTGTTGGTATAAGAGCTAGAAATTTTGAGACTAGAGCATGTGAGACATCATTGTAGTCGGTAGAAGCATTAAGAGTAGAGTCTCTTGAGTTTTCTAGGTGCAAGATAAGTGAACCCTTCTTGTGTGTCTTGGGAATTGGTCCCTCGAAACTCCTGGTCATCAAACACGACGATTCTCCGGCTGGAAATCTGAGTTCGTGAAGTTTAATCGCGGCAGCACCGACGGTAACGATAGCCCTAAGCATTTTCCTTGGCTTTATGACGCGTTTGCTCCAAGTTTCTTATAAAAGCATGCACACGCAGCAAGTACTCCGTGATCGTTCTTCTTTCTAAACGGCATCGTTCACTTGAAACACACTGCCCCATAAGCCGCACCTTGTGCTGCGTAACTTTTCTTGCTGGGCTGGCTTCATTTGAAGTTACCGGACTGCCAGCACGTCGTACGTTGAACAGAAATGACAGTGTTGAAAATAATCAAGATATGTGTTTAATATGTTTAGTGTTTAATATAATTTATATTTATAAAATAGTAAACGGATTTATTATATTCCCGGATCTACTAGAGCTAACAAACTTTTAACATTCCATCTAAATCTCTCAAGCATAACGATCTGTTCCATATAAACCATCATTCTACCACGTCTGGACTACATCATTGTATGGATCACCAAGTTTCAAGTATTCCCTCCAAAAATATATGAAAAAAGAAAGAAATGAAAAAAAAAATCAGAATTTCCAGGCAGTTACTAAGACACTCTTCCTGGCCCCATGCCATCACTTCTCGTATCAACCCCGCAAGTGTTCACGATGATCCACTCCAACCTGCCCCCCAACCCCCTAGTTTTTAACGAACCCTCGTGTTTAGCGGACTCGTGTTTAAAAAACGCTGACATATCGATAGCCGTTGTTGGCTTCCAATTTGCGTCATCGTGGCCAGAGTGGCCTCTGCGACCCGAGGCTGCACCCTTCATCCCCACCCCAACCTTCCCCTGTCAGCGTCTCGTAATAATCGGGTTCGTTCGTACGTGGAGGAACGCGCGAGCGAAGTGTTTTATAAGTGGGCCACGTAGCTGCGCGAATAATTATCCTCGACGGGGGAACTTCATCAAGGCACCACCCCCCCTTCCTCAGCTTCTCGCTCTGTAAATAAATCGACGCCCGTGCAAACGCGCCCCGGCTGGTTTCGCCGATTGTTTCGCGGATTGTTTCGCGGATTTGCGGGAATGACTTCTTTTTCGCGGATCAACACTGTTCCCCGTGGATTAATTAACTGATCGTGGCCAGCGGTATTTTTAGATTCTTTCTTGCGGTATCCTTGCTGATACCATGGAGAAATTAAAGGTCATGACGTGTTTTAGGACGAGGTGTATGTAGTAAATCCTGGGTCAGTGTTCGAAGGATCCTCGGCATTGACAAGACAAGGTCCCCAGGTATAACACTGGGTTCTTTTAGTGAGGTCTGGGTTAGGTAACCTGTCAAGGTGGATCGAACTGTTTAATTAGATGAGCTCATAATTTTAGAATTTTTTGGAATTAAAGATGTTAAATGATATTTAATAAATACATAATAATCGAACTTTTTTATTCGAAAGATGTAAACATACATGTTGACCTTTAAACTTACATTACAGTAAATTCTAGATGAGCGCTCGTAGGCTCTTCGGTATTGACAAGGAGATGTCCTCAGGTGTAAGGCTGACTTTAAGTACAATTAAAGAACAAATAACGGAATAGAAAACAGAAAAATAGAAAGAACTGTGTAAAAATAGAAAATTAACAATAAAAGATAAGAGTAAGTTACGTATTCTGCATAAGAGATAATATAGGTCGTTTAAGTGCAGGGAAAATCAAACGACACGAAAGAATAAGTTGGCATTAATAATAAATGATTCATAATTTATGGTACATAATTTGTAAGGTTCTTCGAAATTCCAGATTCTGTAGCCGTGAGTCAAGATCGGTTTTTCCATAGATATTTATAGTCCATGTAGAAGTGGTGTCAGGAATAATCATACGTCAGTTTGTAGGCGTTATCGCTGGAGTGTCGTTCGACCGCATTCCGCGTCGGTGTGAATTTTACAAACACAACTGCGTGTGTGTGTATACTCGAAATGCTACGCGACGCACTCGACACCGTGAGCGAGTGGAACGTGTGTACCGTTGAGTTCAGCACATTTCGAAGTTACGCTTTGTAATGGTGCCCGCGTGCGCGTTGATAGACAACAGTGACCCGTGAAATCTAAAGCGATCGCATAGATCTCCGTTGAAACATATGAAACAGTCGTTCGCTCGCGTATCGAGTTTCTGCGAATGATGATCTGGCCGCAATTGCAACAATTTCCTAGGTCTCTTTAGGTATACAGGGTGTCCCGAAATAGTCGTAAGTCCTTGACATGGGTGATTCCTGGCGTGATTTGAAACAACTTTTACCTTAACCAAAAAAATCTCGGAGGCTTTATTAACGAGATATTAATGAAAAACCCCGACCAATTAGAGCACGAGGTTGTCGGCTGAGCTCCCGCGGTAGCACGTAGCCAATGTTACTGCAGGTCTAGGTTAGGTAATTTAATATATTAACTAATTTTTGCGCCCTAGATAATTTAATACATTAACTAATTTTTTGAGAATTTTTCAATTTAGATGATCCACTACCGAGATATCGTGGTCTGTCGGGGATCGCTAATAACGTTGTTATTAATAAATATTTTGTAATACCAAAATTCATAGAGGTAATTCAAAGTACGTTCTTTCAAATAAGAAAAGGATTATTGAAGAAGGTGTTACAGTTCTTAAGAGAAAAATTCCTAAATGTAACACTATTTTCGGCCACCTGACTGAGCATGCCCGCTTACGAAAATTCTAATACCTTCGGGTAACCACACCTTTTCTCTCACGAATCGACTAAGAAAGCATTGAAATTTATAATCAGTTTACGAACTCGAGCACCGTTACCTGTGTCACAAACGATCATCGCCGTTGAAATCGGATCATTCGTAATATCGATCCGAACGCGAAATCGAGCCCGTGTGCAGAATGTCGTTCCTGTCAGGTAAATATCTCGACAGTTCCTACAATTTCAAACGATCCTCATTCGACTGTGTACCGATTCCGTCGTTGATTCACCTATTCCCAGCTCTCTGAGCGGATATTAAAAGCTCCTCTGATCTATCCATGGTGACTCGTCACAGTTTGCGTCGCATACTCTACTCTCCCTACTCCCCTTTCCACCCTCCCTATCCCAACCCTCCCGTCCACGCAATAACCCGAGAAGAAAGCACACGGGAAAATATCCGCGGGCCTAGAGTGTTCAATGGTGCCCTCAGGCGGTTCATTCGCGTGATGTATCCGATCTTTCGGGTGATCCGGATGTCGGGACTGTGTGCGTGTGTGTGTGTGTGTGTGTGTGTAGATCCCCACTGTGGAGGATCGCGTGTTGGAGTTGTGCCCGGTTAATTCAAAGTGATCGGGAACGGTAAGGGTTAATGATTAAAGGCGGATTATTGCGGTTTGATTCTGTTTGTCGGTAGAAGTTCGTCAATATCGGTTAATTAGGGATAGACGTTCGGATTAAACGGATCAATTGAGTCGAAACGGGTTGGCTCCGAGTAATAGAGCAGAGAAGCTTTAGTGGTATCGGGAGGGGGGGTTGAGAGTTCCGGTTCTCCGTGGTCGAACTTGTTCGAAAAGGTGGCGTCTGGCGTATTTGGGTGAGTCGATTAAAACTCGAATGTCTCGGTTGCTTCTGGTCGGTAAAAAACAGGCTTCGAGGGAGAATTGTTCGTTTCAGTGGGTAATGTGGGGTAAAGGGCACAAATTTCGCCCCACACAAAAGTAACGTTTTCATTAGGTAGAGATGAAATAAAAACTGAAGAATAAAGTCACATGCAGTAATCGCACAGAAACTTTTTTGTTTTAGTAAGTTGAGTAAAGAAGTAATTGTGGTCTTTTTTCGAACGAGATTAGTTATGTATTTCCCGTTAGCGTAGCATTGCAGTCGATACGTTTGGTCACTTCGAAATTGTCACGTTATGTTTTATACAGGCGCAATGTTTCATTGTGCGTTTAATACACCTAACATATCAAATCTGGACTTAACCGAGATTAAACACGCTTAACCCCCCGCGTATGCCAATTATCCAGTGACTCTGTGGAACACACGAGACTGCGAATTAATATTCATTGTCCAGAGGACAAATGTACACGTTATCGTTTGGCTCTCTTTAGAAACGCCAATGACCGAAACGATTAGCGAAATTCATGCTGTTGCACATAATTACGTTTAATTCGGGGTCTAATGTGTCTGTCTAAAGTGTGCTTAACACTAGCAAAGCGCAGATCTAACGTAAATCCAACAGACATTCGAGAAAACATAATATATCCCAACTGTGACTTCATTAGTATCTTAATCTAGATCTGATGTGTCTAATGAAGTTTGTACAGAGGTGTACAGAGTTAATCCGGAGACTTCACAGACCAAACAGACTTCTCGAGACCTTACCACAATCAAAATCCAGAACCACGAGTTAGCCAATTTAATCACAATTCAAATCTAACTCACAGGCAACTAAGTACAGTACTGAAAGTTCTCTTCAGTCTCGATCCAATCGATTACTTGCCTCTAGATCCACCTCAACATTTTCTATCTCAACATCGCGAGCAACGAATTCAATTTCACTTATTCTCCTACTCAAGGCCGTTCTTATCGCGAAACAATTTTTTTTTTCACAGCGATGATTCTCCTCCAGATTACAGGAAAACATGTTATCTCTCTGTTCCAGGAAACGAGATACTGTACCGCGATGAAACCGGAAATCTCGTGATCTATAACGTCACGTCGAGACAGCCGAGGAAAGTCCTCAGCTCCAGTAACGCGGTAAGTGTGGACACGTTTTTTTTTTTGAATACATTTCTTCCATCGTCGACATTTAACAAAAGAGTTTCGCCTGGTACTATTAAATTACATTGCTTCAAAAAAATTTTGAAAGTACGCCGGAAAGAATTCACGCGATTATAGATGCGAAGGTTGGCGTAACGAAATATTGATACATAACAATATGTTTTGTAATAAAGAAGGTATTATAATAAGTGTATTTTCAATGCTGTTCTCGATAAAAATTCAAACGAGTGGTACTTCGAAGTGTTCATAATAATTTCTTCACCGACTGTAATGTCAAACAGAAGAGAGACCGAAATAGCAAAATTAATTGTCGCCGTTGTGTTTGTTTTCCAGGCGCTGATATCGAGTTTCGACCATCAACTCTCAGCCGACCGGAAGTATCTTCTACTGGCCACCGATTACCAGAAGGTAACGTACCATTTTACACGTCGCGGCACGCGTTTTACGATCCTCTAACTTTTGTCGTCGCGAGCAGGGAATCCTCCGCGCCTCGTTCAGCACCGTGGCGGGACAATAGTGGAAACGAAAATTTCGCTGTCACGTAGCCAGAACTGCGAGTAAATTTTGTTCCGGCGCGGCCCACGAAATTATCCCGTCTGATAAATTCCGATCAATAGTCGGACACCTGCACCCATTTACTCCCGTGGCTCGCGAAAGGAAACGCATGATGCTCGTCGGTCGAAACGAATACGAAATTCCGCAACAACGCGTACGAACGAGCAATAGATCACTTTTAATGGATGAAATACCGGAATTATTAACGTCGAATCCATTCGCGACGATTAAATTGAATTGTTTTTCGATATTCAATAACTGGCACATTAAACATTTGTGTACGAGATAATTCTGTGTGCGGATATAAATTGAAAAGTGTTCGGAATATTCTTTTCGTGCCGTGTTCTGCTTTCGAGAAAATCGAATTTGAATATTTAACGTGTCTGACATATTAATGACTGTTTCTACTGAACCCTGTTTCTTAACTTACTGTATATTAAATGGTTGTGGTAGACGATAGTATCATAGAGTAAACGCACCTATGAAACAACAGTTAAGAGATCTTGCATCTATTAAAGTCGAATTTTAAATAACAATATGGATCCGTTGAATGTGTCGTTTTAGTATCTTGTAGAAGAAATTTTGTTTTCATAAAAATTAAGAACCATTAGTCATTTTAAGACTGTTTCTGTCATTTTTAGATGTGTTTGCTCACAATAAATCCGAAATTTTAGTCACAGTAACACTGTTTATCTAATGCTTGAATGTCACTTAAACAAATATTCTCACTAAAGTGACAAAGTAGGCGTCTACTGTAGTGCACAAATGCATTTAGTGGGTTAGTAAATATGTGACACATGAAAATTAGATTTTCTACTATTTATAGCTTTTTACAACGTATAGATTTCAGCTTGAAAAATTGTAGAAATGTTCAATTACACTAAACAGCAAAAATACATATTTCACCAGTGAACAAACAATATTAACCAACAAATGGATTTATAACCAGTGGCGCAAAAATTGTTTGGATATGAAACGAGAAATTGACAAAATCAATATTTAATAATTTGCTTACTTCAATAATTTAAGTTACTCGTTTTTATACGCTGGTACGTGTTCATTTACTGGTGCATCCACCCTACTACGACTAACAGATGCCAGTTCTATTAAATAAGTAGTATAAACCAGCAATGGTCAGACACAACGAGCGTTTCTTCATTGCTCGCGTTTCAGCCAAAGTTGCATAATAAATTTAGGCCACTTTGCAAACATTTTCGTCTAGACTTTCGATTTACATCTGGAAAACTCGTTTTCCGATCAGTTCTACTACAAGTAACAGACCTCCCTGTATATTTTCACTACACATTCTCCAAGTAGAGTCGTCAACGCCACTTACATCTTCGTTTCTGGACGGTTTTGTCCGCGAATTTTCCAATGTTTTCGCACGAACCGTGGATTATCAAGTTCGAAAATTATACCCGCGTGGAAAGTTGGTCACAGCAAGCGCTATACCGCGGCAAATATACGCACCCGAAGTGCTTCTTCTGTGCGAGTGATTTTGAGAGCGTATCGAGCGTATCCGGTGGCCTAGTTCGAGACAGCAATAACGAGAAAAACTGGAAGAAATTGAGAGGTTTCAAAATTTTTCAAATCGACCTCGCTGGAAGTTGAGCGTCTCGATATATCCGGTGTCTCATGAACTACAGAACTTTAAATTTAGAACAGAATTTTACCATATATCGGGTGATTCACGAGAAACACAACACCTAATATCTTTAAGAGGAAGGTTGTACTGTTGACGGAGGCAAATATGGTGACATAACAAAATTTTCTGATTACTGTTGTCTTCTAGGTTTTTTGAGGGTCATCGATGATTTTTTAAATGGTACATTTTTAACTTCACAGTGTAGTAGCTGATGTCAAGACAAGTTCAACGATGTAGTATACTATGACCTTCAAATGACCTTGCACTAAAACAATTTCTAGAAAGTGATGGACATTATGAAGTTAAAAATATATGGTGCCATTTAAAAAACCATCGATGACCTTTACAAGACCTTGAAGGCAACAACAATTAAAATTTTTTTATATCCTCATTTGTGTGTCCTTGAACAGTACAACATTCCTTTTTAACGTTTCCTTCTATCGCCAATTCTAACGGAGATATTTAGGTGTTCTGTGCCTCGTGAATCACCTGGTATACGGGGGTTACAATAAAACGGAAGAACTTTATAATAATATAAAGTATAGTTTGTATAAAGAAATAAGTTGAATACAGTTTAAAACTTCTGTAGTTCATTAAGAACGTTCGATGTGTGGTTCACTGTCGGAATACCCATTTTCAAAAGCCAAAATCCCAACAGGAGAATCAGTTCGACAAGGTGGTCGTGGGAATATTCTGTCGTCGAGCGTTTTAGTGGCGCCGTTAACACTTGCCTCTCGGAACAGCAGGGAATCTCTAATCGGGCCATACGCACGATATTCTTGGAACACGTGTCTCGGCGTAATTCCACCTGCAGAATGCTAAACAACGGAGTGCGTGGAGCAGCAGATACACGTTAAATACCATATAATACCTGACATGCATAGCATCTGCGTGGACGAGGCGAGCGTTCCTGGCCCCTCTGTTCCGCTTTCTCGGCTGACTCTCGCCATTCAGCACCACGCATAATCGACCAACAGGCCACCACCCCTGCTCGTCCCAATTGCATATATTATGCTCACTGTATCCAAAATATCTTTGCCTCTCGCCCTGCTCTCGCGTCTCGCCGGTCCTCTTATCAGTATTCCTCGGTTCTGTGCGTGGATTTAACTTTCTTTCAAAGTTTTGCAACCGATAACTTTTATTCTCCTTCAAGTGAACAGCAGGACCTTTTAGTGTTCATGAATTTACAGCGACAAACTGAGACTCAAAAGCATCTATGAGAATTCAATTTTTCTTCGTGTTATTTCTCAAATTCTCCTTGCCTACAGTTTATTTGAAATCGACCACGAGAATAGGAATTAAGATTGTAAGCATTGTTTGCTAAAAGAAAAATATCTTCCAACAGAAACAACATTGCTTTATACTACATTATTATCGAGTTTATAAAGGGGTTCGTCATCCCAGTAAAACCAGATACAGTACAGTCGCCGTAACTGCGCGAAATTGGGGACCGCATGCCGTAGTAAGCGTGTACGGTCACCATGTTTCAACCCCTCGTAAATTTTCGAGCCGAGACTCTGCAGCTGGCCTTTGTATTTTGCCAGCACAGAAAAGACCAGCGAATGAGAAAGGAAGGGAAGCAGAGTTAAGACAGCTAAAAGTTGTATTAGCGTTGCTTCTGGGTGGATTCTACATAAAAAAATAAGTCTTGAACATAAAATCAAATTGTTTTCATTTAGGACTCCATTTTCGAAATACACGCGTTTCAGATTAATTTTCGAATTCGATTTTCTCGAAAACGAAATTTCCCACGAAACAATTTAATTCTATATTTCCGACTTATTTTTTAGAATCACCCCTCTTTCCGGTTGCACGACCAGTTACCGACCACCCTGTATATCGTCGCGTGTTTAGACCCGGCTTCGGTTCCCATCGCAGTGTGTAATACAGCATTCGCCATAGCCGCGTACCTTGTATTCAGATTCGGAATCCAATAGGTTTATTTTAGAATCCCGTTTCGCCTGTTCTTCCCCCTTGGCCATCCCCATCCCCTCTCTCGTCAAGCTGTGCTCTCACTCTTTCTTTCGGTTGCATCGTTTTGTCGTCGGCTGGCTGGCTGCTATGTCAGCACTTTTCTCTTCATACGATCTTCTTCTTTTCCTATTTGCCCGCGTTTCAAAGCCTCGGATCCCCCGCGCGCTACATCCGCCGCTTGTGCTGCATGCACCAACCCCTTTTTCGACCAGCCGCGTCCCATGGTGCGTTGTAGCGGGCAACGAACCACGGGCGCGGCCTGTTACCGTTTGCACGTGAAATCCTGAGTTATGTATGTTCAACTTAACCGGCTGAATTTCCGAAGGGAGGACACACCAGCCTCCTCTTAACCGGCTGTTCCCGGCCAACGCTCGCGAAGACTGCGAGGACGGCTGATGGTAATTGTGGAACTAACCTACCTGGGATTTGGGTCGACACGATGTTACTTTTCGTTGGATTACCAACCCCTTAACGGTGAAATTTCTTTGGAATTTTCCCTCCAAAAATGCACGAAGTCTGGTTTCTGTTGTCAAGAAATTCGTGTGTTTATAGTTGAAATTCGTACGTTTCGGAGTGCCCGTATGTGTCACGAGCATGGAAGTTAACCGTGATTGTTAATCATCTAGTATCGATACTTTTGATACGATACTAACAAGGGAATATACCGAATTGAGAATTTAAATTCGTACGTTTCGGAATGCCCGTATGTGTCACGAGCATGGAAGTTAACCGTGATTGTTAATAATCTAGTATCGATACTTTTGATACGATACTAGCAAGGGAACATACCGAATTGAGAATCGCCGATTTTGATGCAACTCTCTGAGATTGTAGTTCTCATAAAATTATTTGACAGTATTGTTTTTTAACTGCTCTTCTCCACGTTAAAGGGGTGAAAACAGCCGTCAAAGTTAGGGGTGTGAACTGTATGCGGCTGAACATCTCGGAAACTATTGGAGATAGAAAAACGGTATAACTTACAATATTGTGTATTTTTTCATAAGGAACTCAGCTATATGATGACGATCCACTGACCAAATACAGTTCACACCCCTAACTTTGAGGGCTGTTCTCACCGCTTTATCATAACAGAATCTAAAACACAATACATGTCAAATAATTTTATGAGAACTACAATCTCAGAGAGCTGCATAAAAATCGGCGATTATCAATTCGGGATATTCTCTTGTAAGTAAATATCAATACTTTTTTTCGATACAAGTTACGAGTAAAA